CAGGTGCTCTGACCCAGTGAGCACGGCTCGAGATTTCCCCCCTTTAAAAAAATATTCTTGTTCTTATTTTGTTTTTTTGAGACAGTGTTTCACCACATAATTCAGGCTGGCCTTGAACTCACTAGGTAGAGGTAGCCCAGGCTGGCTGTGAACCTGCAGCCATCCCAAGTGCTAGGATTACAGGCCACCACGCCCACTTTCTGAGATTTATCTCAACTCCTTTCTCACTCTTCTGGGTAATTTTCTTCACATCATACATAAGGTTCTGTTGTGGGCCCCAGCACTGGCAGAGGCATAGTACATCATGGGGGAGTCTGTGGCCAGGTGGTCTGTTCACCTTCTGGGATGCAAGCAAAGAGAGACAGGAAGTGCTGATCAGGGCCACGCCCAGTGACCTCACATCCTCTACCAGGCCGTGCCCTCTAAAGGTCCCATTACTCCCTAATCGCACTGGAGGATGGACATCAAGCCTTCAAGTACTGAGCCTTTCGGGGATGTTGGAGATCCAAACCATAGCAAAAGTTTATTTTTAAAGTAAGAGGTTAACATTTAAACCTATGTGACATTCAAGATTCCATTTACTAGTACACACATGCTACTGTACATGGAAACAGGCATCCTAAAGATGCCGAGCACTGCAGAAATCTGTGAAAGCGTTCCTCCAGATTTTTATGAACCCACTGACAAATTACTTTTTTTTAAAGCTGTCAGCATTTTAAAAAAGAAAAGAAAAAAGCTCACATTTATATCATAGGACATCTTAATCAGCAAAACTAAGGTTTTGCTAATTTTTAAAATTATGACAAGTACTATTTTAATCAAATGTCAATTTTATAGGAAGAACCTAACTGAATGACTCATAGATAACACAAGACAATTTTTCTCTACTTTAGATTATTTTTAAACTGCATTTCCCCTAAACTTATTATTTAGTTCATATATGGAAAACAACTTAGAAACAGTCACTCATCAGAATTCTTAATGATCAAATTACCTTATTAAAATAAAGAGGGCATGTTTTAAAAAATATGATTAATATCAAGGATCTGACAGTAGGCCCTTAAAACAAGAACAACTACAGGGCACAACTATGATAATATGTGCAAGTGGCTGTGGCCTGCACAAGTGACATGGCGTGGCGTGGGATTCTTCCCAGCAGACAGCAGCTGGTGCACAATCACTCAGTAGGTGACAGGCACTCTGGGGAAGCCTGGGCAGTGGCTCTTTCCTTCTGTTTCCTTTCATGTTAAGCTTTCTTCTGAAAGTGGTGTCTAGACCAGTACAGAGCTGGGACTGAGCAACCAGTGGGGCTGCCTTGTGTTCTAGAATGATGGATTTTTAAATGACCAAAATATTTGGTGCATGTGTCTCTCTTGACGACTTACAGGAAGAGTGCAACCAAATGATTATTTCCAATCACACTGAAATCCTTCCAACACCGACATTTTTTTTAACCCAATGCCGAAAACAGATATCTGAGAAACAACCATGTCTCCTGAAAAAGGGTATTTGAGAAACAGCCATTTCCAGTGGGAAGGATTCTGAAATCCGTTCTTCCAGCATGTTTGTGGGCAACCAGGATGGAAGCTCTTCCTGGTGAGCTGGGACTGTGCTGCAGTCTAGACTGGGAATGTGCCCATAGCCGTGTGTTGAAGGTGCCAAGCTCCTGGCTCCCTTGTGGTTTAGGACCTTTCAGAGGGGTGACAACACTAGGTCACTGGGGCACAGTCTGGGAGGGGTTCTAGGAACTTGGGCCTTTCCTTTTCTTCTACTCCCTGGCCACACAAGGAATGGCTTTCTCTATTTCCTGTCCCCACCAGATGTGCTTTGTCACCGCAGGCCCAGAGTTACAAGGGTTAGGGTTAGGGATAGACCAGGGACTAGGGACCAGGTACTAAAACCTGCACAACTGCTCACCAAGACAATCTTTCCTCTCTGTAAACTGACTTATCCCACATTTCTTGTAGTGGTGACAAACTCACCACCCAGCACCCTTTATACCACTTACACTTTCTGCAGCCAGACTGATTGGTCTGTGCCATCTGGGACTGTGTCACCCCCACAGCCACCGACTCTTTGCCTTAAATTGCTGAACAATATATACACCTGACTTGGGTGAGTAAAAGATATTTTGATGCAACCAAATCACGTAAGAAAGAAATTTTTAAATTCAGGCAAAATGTCATGCAAGGTGCCTACCCATATGGTGGAAAGACTGTAATATTGTCTACCGGATAGGGAGTAGCTGATGGAAAACTGAAAAATTCAGTGTCTAGGATGATTAATGAAAAAAGAATCAGAAACTTCAGTTGAAAGGACTCAGGGATGACTGATTTCAGTGACTTTCTAACAGTATTCCTGAGGGCCCTTTGGGCTCTCTGAAGATGATTTTAGAAACCTTCTTCAAATGCATTGAATAAACTGAACAGAGACTAAAGACTAGAAATAAAAGTCACACAGGTTGGGGTTAGTTTACTTTGGGGTGTTCATTTCCTTGTGCACAGAAAGAAAAGCTGGGTCCCGACATCAGCACACAGAGTGTCTCAGTAGTAGCTCAGAAGGGCTTTCCATAAATGGCAACCTCCAGGGCAATGAATTTGAAACAGTGACTGCAGCCACCTAACAGGCTTTAAATTTAGGTGGTTTCTCCATCAGGGTACCATGCAGAACCAGCCCAACCCAGTTGCTGAGCTTCTCTTCTTGTGTACAGAGCCCCTCAGACTGTCCTTCCTGCACAGCAAGCACAGTCCCACAATCACCCTTAGAAAGGATTTTCTTGGTCAGGTTTGCAACCCTTTAAGGGTTCAGCTGCGTACAGCTCTGCTCTTATGAATTTAATTCCTATTTTCTCTTCCTTTTGAAAGAACTGAACACTGTCAAAATTGCCCCTTCTGTAAATAGAATATATTAATTGTTACACAAAGTGAAAAGATGACATTATTAAGCTCATGAGAGCTTTTTTTTGGCTTTTCTTGAAGGAAGAAATTATGTCATCCACACTGCATAGACTGGGCTTCATTTGGGGTGCTAGGAATGGAACCCAGGGCTGCATGCATCCTCAGCAAATGCTCTACTAATGAGATGCACCCCCAGCCACTTAGAAACACTTCTTCTCTGGTGCTGGTGACGGAACCCAGAGTCTCATGGATGCTAAGTACATGCAGTGCCATAGAACTGCACTCCAGCCTCTAGGTTGGGCTTTAAATAATATTTGCTTAGTGAACAGTAAGCCACAGGGGGTATGTTTTATGTGATTGTGAGGCTTCTGCTTTTAAGCAGCAGGAAATATATTTTACGCTCATGTATGTGGAGCCTGTCAATACTAGGAATCAGAGTTTCCATGGATGTGTGAAGTGACAGATTTCCAACAAAGCATAAACAGCTTTAAAAGCAGAACTGGCATGCTTGCCTAGGCTGTCTTGGTGCTAATGACCTCAAAGTCAATGATTTCTCCATACAGATGAAATAAGCATATTGCAACTGGGTTGCATCATCTAAAATATAGCCCTTGACTTGAAAACTTGTCCTTATGTTTTATTAGGTTTGAAATAAGAAGGAAACTAATGGAATTAAACCAGCAAATTATTTTGCAATCAGTGACTGCAGTTTCCACGGCCACAAAGCAGATGCGGCCAGTTGTTGAAGAAAGTTGGACCAAATTCCCACCATCCGGTACCGTTGACAGTTTGACACATAATACATTCTTACCTTTAGAACTGACCCATATTAACAACTCGATTTTGTAAGCTAATTTAAAAGAGTAGAAGATCAACCCACAATAATTTCCAAATATCTTGATGGTTTTCACTGTGAAAGCCAAACATCTGCAAGACTGAACAAAAATGAAATTTTCTCAAATTTATTGCAGTCCATACAGATGAAGACTGACCCTAAAGATCATCCTTTTACCAGATAAGTTTTGTGAAAGATGATAGTAAAAGAAAGAAAAAAATCAGAGCTGGGTGTGGCTCAGTAGAGCACTTGTCTAGCACACATGAGGCCCTGGGTTCCATCTCCAGCATTGCAAGAAAAAAAAAAAAAAAAGAAGACAGCAAATAGATGTCAAATGAAATGAGACTTGTAATTTTATTTGATCACTTTGGTATTGTTTTCTTGAGCCTATAATGACTTCTGAAGTAAAACAACTGACTAATTCTTAATATAATACTATCAAGTTACAGCTAAAATTGTGGGCCAACCAATCAAAACCTAAGAAGAATTATTTCTTCTAACAGGCGTATCTTCCATGATTTTATTGAGGTAGCACTGCAATGTAAAAAACATAGGGGTTCTCAAGTCTTTGACATTGACACCCAAATTTACAGTTTGATGATGATGATGATGAATTTTATGGTGCTAGGGATCGAACCCAGGGCCTCATACATTCTAGGCAAGTGCTGTACCACTGAGTGACACCTCCAGCTTCATAAGCTGGACTTTAGAGACATGCTTGAGAAGTACAAAGTTGTATTCTCTTATGTTTCTGTGACAGTGAAGTTTTGTATGAATTCAGAATATTAGTTTTCTTTTTTCTATAAGTCTGCAAGTTATCTAAAGTAAAAAAAATACTGCTATACTCAGCACAGAGGACAGAAAAAAGCATAAATCTAATCCTGATATGCTATTTAAAATTCTATATCTAGATATCTTCAGAATTTTCTTATGAGTGAAGTAGACAGAAACTACTAATGCACGTAAGAATTATTCTGTTAAATGGATACAGAAATTAAGTACAATTGTCATCACATTCTTTTAAAACACTGCACTTTTTCTCATCATTCCACAGATTTTCAAGTCTCTAATCCTTGCAGATGCCCAGCTACAGAGAGGCACTTGCAACCAAAAGTTTGAAGTCACTGACCTACACGAGAAATGTCTGATCATTGTGCAGTATGCAGAAACCTGGCATTCTGTGGAAAATACCAGACGTGTTTCTGTGTGGTCCTCGAGCCCCTCGACCTGATGGCTATAATGAGAAAGACAGGGTAAGCGTCACCTACCATTATGAGACATCCCCACCGCAAGGCACTTCTGAAACCGACAGTACTGACATTTATTTCTACTCTTTTTGTGGATCCGACAGTTAAGATCACACCTATCATAAATAAGCTTCAATCGGATGGTCCTCCGGAAGAAACCCTGCAAAGAGACATGAGAATAAGAAGTAATCCTTAAGTCCATGAAGCAGTGACCTACTGGCTACAAGTGCATGGCCTAGACATCAGAAAAGGTAAGTTGTATCCTGGTGATTTGGACAAGGCAAAAAACCAGAGACTCTCCAGTGTTGTTTCTCAGTGTGACCATGTCCAACTCGTGTCGCTTGGTGTACCCTGGCTTTTTGTGTGCTTTGTCTGCCCGCACTGCAGAGACCTCTGGACTTAACATAAGCAAGGAACACACCATGTAATCAGTTCAGAATCTCTGCAAACCATCCCAACAGCTTGCCCAGCCTTCAGAACTGTGCTAGGCAATTTGGCAAACTTATAATCACTTCATTCTAAAACACGATCAGGGCCAATAAAAACCCACATGTGGATAATTTTTTGGAATTCTCACTGTTGCATAATTTCCTGCAGAATTCATTTCATTCATCTGTGCAGTTGACGGAGTGCCCATCAGCACAGCTTAAGACAAGAAGCGGCAGCAGGAAGTGACTTGAGCAGTAACATAGAAATTCTCTGAAAGCCTAGTACAAAATGGCATCACTGGGGCCTTCTGAGAGAGGTGAAAAGCGTCTTCAACTGTAGATGTCTTCTAACTCCACTCTTGGGATTCACAGTTTTCCTGTTTATCTGTACTGTGCTCAGTTCTTAATTCTGTCATGTGGACCTAGTTCTGTTTGGTACCAGAATCCCCCCCTAGGTTCCCACGGACATGTGCTGGGGCTTTCTGCAGAGCCTGCCCTTCAACACGTTTGGGGACTTGGGGCCAAAAGCATTTTGGATTCTTGCAGATTCTGTGGCATCTGCATATGTGCACTTGGCGGGGAGAACCCAAGACTACACATGAGATTCACTTGTGTTTCACAGCTTGAGCCAGAAGGCGATTTTATGCAGTATTTTTAGCGTGCCTGCTCTTGCCTGCATGACCAGTCACAAGGTCAGCTGTGGAATTTTCCATGTACATCATGTTGGTGCTCAAATATTTTGCACTTTAGGGTGCTGAAGATTTTGGGTTTTAGGACTAGGGGTGTTCAACCTGTGTAGAGCTCCCCGTCTCCCACACTCTAAGTTCTGTTGGCATCTCAGGTTCCTGAGGTCTCTATCCAACCTTGCTTTGGTTTGTGGCTGTCTCTGTCCCCACCTCCCTCCTGGGCCTCTCTGTCCCTTTACAATGTCCTAGTTTGGCTCACTGACAGTGGAGCCCTGACTTTCTCACCTGCCACAGAACCAACCTAACGCTGTGTGCTCCTTTCCTGCCTCTTTTTGACTTCTTGGGACACCCTGGCCCACAGCCCAGTTTCTACGGGTTAGATCAAAACTGAGTTTTAGTCCTGTTTCTGCATTCTAGACATGAATCTGTTCTCTGTAAGAGTTCTTGCCTGTACCTCCTTTCTTTGTCTTCAAGGTGACTGTCCTTGGAATGTACTTTTTCAGTATTTTCTTATTTTATTTTTTAACTTGTGAAGATTTTCACTTCACCCTCATCCTTGAGCAATTATGGGGTACTTAGTCATTTTCTTGTTACACTTTGAATTCTCTTTTGTTTTTCTGCTCCCAATGCTGCAGTTGAGAAATCTCCTGTCAACTGATTTTTTTTGTTTGTTTCTTGGCCTGTTTGACACACTCTCACATCTATTTCCAGTTGGCCTCAAACTTAGAGTGATCCTTCTGCCTCAGCCTCCTGAGTTCTGAGATAACAGATGCATGCCTGGTGCTGTCAATTAATTTTGAAGGCAGTTTTAGTTTTCTAAACTAAACAGTTTTACGTCTGTGTAGGCATGGCTTTCTTTTCACTTATTTTCTTGCACAAGTTTTCTAGTTCATTAGTTCATTAGCTCTGGGACTCCAGTAAGACAACTGACCTGCTCCATTTCTGACCTAGCTCAGTTCACCCCTCCATAGACAGCCTGGTGGTCCCCTGCTCCTAAGGCGTGAGTGTGTGTGTCCCATTTTGATTCCAAACTTAGTGAGGACTCAGGATCAGCATATGCACTGCAGCTCAGAACTCCTGGACTCAAGGAGTTGGATCAAAACTGATCCAATGTTTCATAGTCCTTGTTCTGCTGGTCCCAAATTGGTGGCACTCAGCTCTGGCAGAAGCATCTGCAAAATTTCCCTTGGAGAAGAGATTTCCCGTTTTAAACCCTGTAGGATTCCCTCAATTTAAGGTCCCGAAATGACCCACCTCAGCCTCCTGAGTGGCTGGGCCTGCAGGTGTGTGCCATCACACCCAGCCGATTAGACAACTGCTAGATCTTCTTTCTCTAGTCTTTGTATTTTCCACCTTCTTTTTAAAATTTTATATAGAAAAAAGTAAAAATAACATTAAAACAGGGTTTCAAAACAGGCTAGTAGGAGAGTAACAATAATCAATACATTGCATTTTCCATCTTCCTGTCACTAATTATTCACTAACGCTGACTCCAAGGGTAAAAAAGCTGTATGGCAACCAATGAAACCGCACAAAATATGTAATTAGATTGGCAAACTTAAAAACAGTATTTCACTCCACATTTCATCAGTAAGACCATATTGGTACCTCCTTTTTCTGTGGGTGAGTGAAGAAAACAGACTCATTTAATACTCAAGGGCTTGTCGGGTACAGTGGTACAAGCCTGTAATCCCAGCACTCAGGAGGCAGAGGCAGGAGAATCTCTGTGAGTTCAAGACCAGTCTTGTTACGTAGTAAGACTCTGTCTCAAAAAACAAAGTTTTTAAAAAATTCAACAATTCTTTTATCCCTTCAACAACTACAGAAACTTTGAATTCTAGTAGCTCCTGGGAAGGGTATATTCTGCAGGCCAGTGTTCGTCTCCTATCGGGTGACTTCACTGGGTCTCCTTTTCAGTCTCCTTCTTTCTACCTCCTATTCTCTTTGACCTTTCTTTCCACTGAATTTTTCTAACAGTCATTGTCCATTTCCCTCTGAGAAGTTTCACCGGCTTTGGTTTTGAGGCTGCCTGCTCAGTCCCCATCTCTGCTACCGCTGGTTTGTTGCTGGGCCCTGCTTTGTTTTTATACAAAACCCTCGCACAGCTGTCCTCTGAACCTGGCAGGCCCAACCTCCACTTTTCTTGGTGGGGTGGGGATGTTTATATTAGGCATTTGTTTGTTTGTTATGAAGGTCATTTGAGGTGATACCCTCGTTATGTGCTTGTCAATATTTTATTTTGCAATCATTTCGTGACCTTAAATTGAGGGAATCCTACAGGGTTTAAAACGGGAAATCTCTTCTCTAAGGGAAATTTTGCAGATGCTTCTGCCAGAGCTGAGTGCCACCAATTTGGGACCAGCAGAACAAGGACTATGAAACATTGAATCAGTGGGGAAGGCCCAGGCTAGACCTCTCCTGGCCAGAGCTCAGGACCCTTGCAGCTCTTGCAATTGTAGTGGAAGAAACCCTGCCCTCCGGGCCAGCCTACTGCTCAGACCAGGGTTCAGCTTCCTGAGTGCTGGGATAACAAGTGTGCACCACCACATCTGGCAAAATCTTTTTGATTTTTCAAGCACTCCAAGGACTTTTAGACATGACAAAGGTATGTTTTGTTTTGTTTTGCACTGGCCATTAGAAGGCTAATGCCCAGAGTCATTCTCACAGAGAAAGGCTGATAAGAGATTTTTTTTTTTTGCCACTATGAACATAGAGTTTATGATGATCTGTGTCTTATGTACTTGTTTTAAAACTAGTTCAAACATCACACAAGGAAAGTAAGCATTATGTACTGAAAACATGTACCAATAAAGTAAAATAAAATAAAACTTAAAAAAACAGCCAGACTCATACAAACACAGAGTAGAATGGTGGCTGCCAGGGGCTGGAGGGGAATGGAAGTTCCTATTCAGTGGTTTTAAAATTTCAGTTCCACAAGCTGAACAAATCCTAGAGATCTACTGTACAACACTGTGACTATAGGTAACAATATTATATTGCACATTTTAAAACTTGTTGAGGATACATTTTATAATACCAGTTCTTATCAGAATTTAAAATGAAAGTAACCAGGGCTGATAAAAGATGAGTGGCCTGTGGATCAAATCTACTCTGCTGCCTGCTTTTGTAAATAAAGTTTTATTGAAGCACAGCTGCAAAAAAACAAAAAACCTCAACCAACAAACCAACGAAACAAACAAACAAAAAAATGACTATGGGAGGCTTTACTGCTGCTCATGGCAAAGGGCCGGATCAGCACTCCGTTCTGTGGTCTGGCCACTGAGGACAGTTTTTGTAAATGAACAATGTTGTTTAAGGTTAACCCTCATATTGCAAATTTTGAGCTTGACTCGTAGGACCCTTTCTTACTCCCACTGCGATGAAACAGGGCCTTTCAGTGCCAGCGAGTGACCACCCGGCAATCGTGTCTGCACCATAATGACCAGAAACCTGGAGCTGGATTGCACAGACTCCACCGCGGTCACCTAGAAACTTGCATTTACTGTCTTCACCTCACAGAGTCCATTACAACCCCTGGTTTCCTTGTTGCTTGGCTTTTTAAGAAACAAGAAGATGTAAGGATTTTACTGACTGTTTTGTAGGCTTCTCCAAAGTTTCCTGATGTGACTGATAAAGAAACACTCTTCACTACTATAGACTCCATGAAACTTTCATTCTTACTTTTTTTCTTTCATCTTTTATTTAGTCATATTCATTTATTTATTTCACTTACTGGGAACTGAACTCGGGGCCTTTACATTGAGGTGCACCCTCGGCACTTACTTTGAGACAGGGGACTCAGTAAGTTATTAAACTGCCCAGTCTGGACTTGAATTTGCAGTCCTCCTGCCTCAGCCTCCCAGAGTGTCCCAAGAAGGGCAGCTGTGAATCAGCATGCCTGATCTCTATTATCTACTCTTTCTTCCTTCTAAAATGACCAACCTAAGGAAGGCAAGTGGGTAAAGCAACCCAGCTTTTATCAGTTTTTCAAATATCATCTCACTAGAACGAATTCTTCCAAAGCGGGGGAAAAAGAAGAAGAAGAAAAGAAAAAGAAAGTGTGATCATTTTATTCCAGCCCCTGGGACAAGTATGCTGCAGGAAATGCAGCAGCTGAGTATTCAGGGTTGTGTACCTTGCACCCTTCACAGGCGTGGACTCCGTAGTGGAAGCCAGAGGCCTTGTCCCCACACACGCGGCACTCGATGGCCATGAGCGAGTTGGAGGGCTCCTCGTGAGGCCTATTGTACAGCTGAGTCTTTTCAGAATAGTATGGGGGCGATGCAGGCTCTACCTTGATGGCATCTGTAGGTGACAAACGGACAAGGTCATAGCACAGGAAAGCCATGCTGCAGAGGCCAGCAGCTACTGCAATTCAGCTACCTCAGGCGGGGACAGTATATGAAGGGTATGAAGGCAGGGGCGTCAGGTTTTGTCACAACCCCCGTGAGCCTCACCTGAGAAGTGACCGAGGGACAGGAATTAAGCCCCCAGTGCCTGAGACACCCAGGCGCCAATAGACTGCACAGCCCAGCTTGGTGGCTGGTAATGAGCTGCGTCTGGTGTTTCACCTGCCCCCATTAAACCACGGCTTTTATTTCGGGGCTACATTTTAGAATTATCTGTTCTATTTTACAGTCTAATATCCCCCTTCTGTCCAGCAGAATACCCTATGATGTTAAATACACAAAACAAAACCAGGAAAACATGAGCAGGTGATGTGAAACATTCTTCCGTAGACTGGAAGTTAGATCAGTCTTGCAAAAGAAAGGCAGAAGCAGCAGTACTGTGAGATGTGAGCCGTGTGCCCAGCTCGAAGGGAATCACAAACACGAAGTGGGGGCGGCCGTGTGGCCGGGGAGCCGATCTTCAATAGAGAGAGATGTTTTCCACTGCTTGGGGCCGGCCCTGCTAAATTTCCATATTAGGCTCAAACTGAAAGCCACACTGATAAATATAACCAACTATACCAGTTATCTAAGAAAAAACCCAGAAATACAGGAAGTTCTTACTTATTGTCAAATGATGGTTGCCAATGACATAGTGGTGGCTTTGGGAAACCAGCACATCAGCCCACGGCAAGATAAAAATCAAGGAAGCAGCAGCACAGAAGTTACACTGTATCTTGAAAAATACGGTTCTGGTTTTTCTTGCATCTGATGTTTTGATGTTAATTTCCTTAATGGCATGAAGATTTATCAGCAGGGTATCGTGTTAAAAGGTAAATTTGTATGCCCCCAAAATAGATGTCAGGGTAAATTTCAAAAACTAAAGATTAGGGAAAAAAAAATGAATGCAAAAAAAAAAAAAAGATGAAGGTAAAAAAAGATTAGAAAATAAAAAGTTACAGTAATAGTAACACTAAGTTGTATAAGGTAACTTGCAAGGGCTTCCATTAACTTAAAATGACCAGAAGAACTAAAGTTTGGAAGACAGACTCTTAGCCTGAGCTACAACTGGTAATGAACATGCTAGAAAATGCTTCTCACTGGGTATGGTGGCACACGCATGTAATCCCAGTACTCAGGAGGCTGAGGTAGGAAGATCATCATGAACTTGAGGCTAGTCTGGGTTAATAGAGAGTTCAAGGCCAGTCGGACTATGTAAGATTATCTCAAAACAACAAACAAAGGAAAAAAGCAAAAAACAAGAAATAAAGGAGGAGGACAAGCAGAGAGTCATTTACACATCACCTTCCTTTTTTGCGTATCACAAGTAGCTATTATTTCGTGACCAGGTGGTGAATCATGCGTGGTAACTGCTGTCTCGCTATAGCACTCATTGCAAGGTTATGGAGCGGCCCCCCCATCCAGGGTCAGTGATATGAAAAGTGAACAGAAGCATCGTACTTTGGTACTCCTGCAGCTTCAGGTCATATTTATAATCGGCAACCATCGGGTCCACCCTGGGGAACGGTATGTCTTCATAGTGTGGTGTTGAGATGCTGGAGAAGTCCACCGTGGTGAAGGGCTTGATGTCAAAGGAGTGCGAGTGATCGTCCATCACCGACAGGTCCATGGAGCTGAGCCCAAAGTTGGTGGGCCAGAATGGCATCTCTGTATCGACCATGGTGACTTCTGCAAGGGGAGAGAGAGGCTTAGGAATCTCGGTCCTAGAGGCACATGGAGAGGAGTGCAATGTGACTGAGTGAGCTCAGCTGGGCCATCACTGAGGCCACGAGGACACCACTCATGGTGTGAAGTCACCCCTGCTGGGCATCCAAAAAAAACCCAGGAACAGCCTAGGTACCCAAAGACACCCATCCATACCTGCCTATGTTTAGAAAGTTTCTGGACAGAATCATAGTTGCTAAACCAAATTTAGACAAATGAGCTTATTCTTTAACTACATTCAAAAGTAATGTTGTTCTTAAGATAATAAATTAAAATGAATCTTTGAAAAAAAGGAAGGGCACTTCTGTACTATGAACAAATACTTCAAGTATTTATCTTTTCTGGGTAGACAACTTTTCTTCAGTGAAAGCGGTCTCACTCATGTGGGGAACAGTCAGGTGAGGGCCAGCCATGTGGGCCACGAGACTGTTGTTGGCAAGAATGTCAACACTGTACCTAGGCTGGCACTAATTTGAAAGCCATTCCCAAGATGAAACCAAAACAAAAGCCAATATAAACAGCTGGAAACAGGAATCAATACAAAGACAGGTGGGGGTGTTCACACGGATGCTGGGGCTGCAGAATAACCAGTCTTGGCGCAGCCTGCCCAGAGTACCACACGCCACTCGAATTCTTCTAACTGCCAATCATTTAAATGTTAGCTCTGTGGCTAGAAAGTACCGGCGCAGAGCTGAGGAGATGCAGGATGCTAACCCTCGGGATAAAGCAATTCTGGGGATGCTGGAACCAGAGATGTCTCTGTCTTATCTGCAGCCACAGCCGTGCCATCAAATAAAAAGCTTGGCCATCACAGCTGCTCACTGGATATTCAGTAGACACAAGATGAACTTGATGACTGGATGAGGGGCTGGGAAATTTAGCAGAAGGGGCAGGGCTGCAAAGCAATTCGCTGAGTACCTCCAAAGCTCTGGACACAATCTGCCTTTCACACTTTCACTAATGTGAGATCTTATGTCTGCTGTATAGACAAATAAGCCCAGGCTAGAAATGTCAGGTGACTTCCCAGAGCCCGAGGAGCCGGAGGCCTTCTTGGGCAGCTGTTCTGTCCTCTGCCATGGGTAGAGAAAGGGCTGTGCTCATGAGGGTGTCTGGGAAGGACCTTTTGCTCTTCCCAGCAAGCAGGGAGCTGAGGAATCTGCTCTCAGAGGCCAACTCACACACAAGACTAAAGATCTCAGCTGTGGTCTTCATAAGAGCAACAAAGTGCCTTGAAAGGCCCAACAGGGAGGCTGGTTCTGCAAGAGCTCCTTGGGACCCTGTGGGCTCCTGCGTCTGGCTATCTACACGGCAAGTACCCAAACAGCTCTCAGTTATCTGGGTTACAGTGCAAACACTGCACACTATGAAGAGGAATGCACACTGCGATAGTGTAAAGGTCACTCGGGTCTCAATGACATCCAGCTTCAAAGGACACGGCACCTATCCAGCTGCAGCCTTTGTTTCCAAACTCATTCAAAGCAGCCCGGACCAGACCTCTGTGTACACTGCCCATCTCCTGGGCACACTTAATTTTCACTTCTCGGTCAGTTTTTCTTAGCAATGGTTGCTTTTGTACCACAGGCTACCTCGAGGGTCTATAGTGTAGTATCCTCAAGGCAGGGGCGTCTGTCCTGTTGTTTCTCATGGTGTCTGCTGGAGTGTCCTGGGTATAGAATCAAATTACAGGTAGTATGCACCTCTGCATGAACATGAGCTGCAGGAAAAACTGGTCTTTCATCATTTTATTGGTTACTTTTGTTTCATTTTTAATATACAATTTCAGTGAGTCACTGTCAAGCTAAGCCATGCTTCCTTTTGTGTGGGAGACAAGTTGAGACAGGGTCTCACTGTGCAGTTCAGGCTGGCCTTGGACTCACAGTGATTCTCCCGCCTCAGCCTCCTGGGATATTGACGCATGCTACCTCACCTGGCAAAGCCTCCAATTTAAAGCTCTCCACTCTATCTTCCCATAGTGCTGTGTGTCCATCTTTTAATACCACTGATTTGGACAAACATCTCTGCCATTCAATTTCTAGATGAGAACAAATGCCCAGACCCAGAAGCACCCTTTATCCCGTTTCCCTTTTTGGGCCCTTATTCTCAGTAGTTCTGCAGTGCTGATTGAACGTTATGACTTTATAGGGAAGAGAACAAATTCCCACTTTGCTGTGACAGATGGAGCAAATAAAGACACTTTCTCACTGATTTAATTTTGCTAAAACTTAAACTCCTCTCAAGGCGCTGACCTTCAATATTATAAGCAGAACAGAAGCCACAGTCCTTCCCTTCACCAGGTATCATCTCTCTCTGGTTGGTACAGGGGGAAGACGAGGGCCCTTACTGTAAGCTTTTCTTCTTTTGAAATGCTGGGGATGAATCCCAGGACCCATGCATGCCAGGCAAGCGCTCACCAGCAAGTGCCACCAGGCTTCCTTATTTTCCTAAATAGAAAGGACACAAGCAAGAGTCCCCTCATTGCTATGAAAACCCACGCTCAAGCCCAAGCTTCCTCTTTCCTGCTCTTTCCCACTCTTTTACTCTGGGGCACCCTGACCAGAATATTTGCTCTCTATGGACCACAGTCGCTGTGCAGTTGGGGAGTCTATGTTTTTGTGTGTGTCGGGGGCGGGGGACTGACTTAGAGATGGGTCCAGGGAACTGGCTTCTCATTTTGTCTCTAGAAAACACAAACTTCTGAGGTTGCTCAGCTGTAAGCCAAGGAGGTGTTTTTGGTTACTCTGTGCAATTAGCCATGAAGGAACAAATGGACAGAATATCTGCATGAACAGCAGCCCATCTCAGGAATTGACAACTGGGTGACAGGGGCCGTGCCACTTCAGGGTGCATCCACAACTTCCCCAGCCTCCATCGTGTCCAGAGGAGGCCGTGGTCCTGCGCAGACCCTGTGTGCAGTGACAGGAAGTGGGGTCATTTCTCCTGGACCTCCAAACTTGGCTTTAAGCTCAAACAGACTTTTGCAATAGTCCACAGTATAATGTGTTTCAAACAAAAATATAACTGATTTCACCCAGGAATCAACTGCTCTAATCTGATAGGCAGCATTAGTTGGGAGATGGAAGCGGGTCAGGAAAATTTGAAATTAGAAAATGGAGCACCAGAATGCAACGATTTGCCTTTGGGGTGTACGCCGTCCCTAATACAAAGAAAAGTGTCAGGACAACGAGGGTCAGGGCTGAGGTGCAGCTCAGTGGTGAGCTCTTACCTGGTGCCACATGCAAGGCCCCGGGTTCCACCCCAGAATCACAATCAAAGACAGAAACAAAGGTACAGACACAGAGCAGCAGTTACTGTGTGGAGAGCTGAGAGTGGTCGTGGGGCCCAAAGGCCTGTGGTCACACTTAACCTTCTCCACCAATGGTCCTCCCGATCTTTTAGGCTCTGTGGTCACAGATTCCGACAGTCCTCATTCAGTGCCTATGCTGGGTCCAGCCTGGCAGAGGGGCTGGCACAGCACTTGTAGAGGCCTCTGGGGAGATGTCTGGACCAAGGTGTGTGACAGGCAAAGCCTTTCACAGCTTTTCTAGAGCTTGCTGAAAAGGATTTTTGAGAGACACCTCACCCCTGGGTATGGGGTGTACGCCTAGGTGGGGACGCCTGTGACCTCTCAGCACTTGGGAGGCTGAGGCAGGAGGATCTCTGTGGATTCAAGGCCAGTCTAGGCTGCATGGTGAGTCCAGGTCAGCCTGAACCACATAATGAGGACTGCCCCCAAAATAAGCTTCTAATAAATAACAGTAGTAGCTATGAGGTTTGCATATATTAGAGCCCTCAATGCTACCACCAAGGATCAGGAAGAGAAAGAAACACTCCTGAAGCCCTATTGTTCAGACAGGACTATGCCTAAAATGGATGTTCTGTCTCAGAGGACCCTGGAAAGGGGAGGCCCACATGCGGGCCTCTCATTCTCTGCATGTCTCTCTCCTGCCTGACATCACCCCATGGGCTGCACGTCTGTTCCCTGAGCACAAATGCCCATACTCCTCCCCATCAAGCAGCAGCAGAGGTAAGCCCGGAGATGCAGGAGCAGCGGCTGATGGCAGGCTGTGGACTGAAGCGCTTCCCAGAGCAAGGGGAGGTGAGGGGGAGGAAGGAGAAGGCGCTGGCCACGCGTCCGGTTCTGGAGCGAATGTGGTTTGTAAAACGACCGTGTGTCAAAGTTTGCAATGGTCTCTTTTCCCACTTTCTAAACACACAGTTGTCACCTTCTGCACTTTTCCTCACATACTTAAAAACAGTTCAGTTGCCCCTGGGCTGCACAAGGATTCATAGGGCTCTGAACAATAGAAGCCAGGAGAGAAAGGGTTTCTGAACACTTCAACCACACACAAAGGAAGGCTGCATGTTAATGTCCTTTCCAGAGAAACTGTTCTAAAAGCTTCTGGAGAGGAGAAACAAAAAACAAAAAATACGTAAAATCTCAAGAATTGTAACAGTAGAGGCTAGAAAATCAATAGAACAATGTTTTCAAAAGCAGAGAAAAAAATGCTGCTAATTTAGGATTTTGTATGCATCCAAGCAAAGACATTTCCAGAAATATAAGGTCTCCCAAAGGTGACCTACTCTTCCCCAGAGTTCTTCAGCAGAACAAAGAAAGCCAGTACACACTGGAACACACATGTAATCCCAGCACTCAAGGATCGCCACAAGTCTAAGCTCAGCCTGGACTACACTGCAAGATCGTGTCTCAAAACAAGCAAAACAAAACAAGATACACTTCATTTACTGCCTACTCAGACCATATTAAACACTGGGCCTGGAGTTTCTGATGCCCAAGCCCTGCCTATAGCACATTTCCTATAATAAGCCGGAAAATCTCACAAAGAAATCTCAAATTCAGACCAAGCAAGCCTCAGAGAAGCCCCAGCTTTATCAATAGGTGGAGAGAAGGTAATGTTCACTTTTCCTATAGCTTGAACCAGCTCCAGGAAATGGGGAAGGTACTG